AACAAAAATGTATTTTATTTCTCCTTTTATCCAGAAAATTTAACTTTTGAAATAGAAACTGAATAGCATATGGATGGAAAACAAATGCCAAATGATGTAAAATAATTTAAGTGGCCATTTAGGTCAGGGGTTGGTGAGGTAAAAGATGAGGCAAAGGCATGTGCATTTACCACAACTGCCACTTGGTATTATGATTTCCAAAATTTACAAATCTCATAGCTACCTTCTGTATTAAAGACAACTGCATATATTGCAGTTTGCATATCATGAATTGTGTTTGCAGCAAAATTCACTACAGACAGAAAAAAAAAAGAATTAATTCAGCTCTATTAAAATTCTTTTTTGAAACATTTTTGATTTTTATTCCTAAAATGTCTATGAGATCAAATTTATAAAACATTTATTAGCATTGTAAATTTCAATATACTAGTAATTGTTGACATGTATACATCATGTACATGTACAATCATTAGCTGATCAGCTCTATATTTTCATTATTTTTATATCAATATTCTTCATCAGTGTTTTTTATAAGACTCAATAATCTGTATTCATCATTGGGACGGGTAGGTAAAGTAGGTCCTTTTGATCTTGGATTTTGACAACACTTAAGCATATAGTTCCAAATTATAGTTGATCTTGGCTTCTTAAGTGGATTCTGACAACACTTTGCATATAGACACCAAGTGTAGATGATCTTGGGTTCTCTCATATGGATTCTGCCAGTACTTTGATTATACATGTAGTTCCAAGTATTGTTGATCTTGGCTTCTAATGTTGTTCTTAAGTTTCTGCACTTTGCATATAGTTCCCAATTGCAAGACAAGATGATACTGGCTTCTTGTGTAAATTCTGTCAGTTCTTTGCCAATAGTTTCCAGGTAAAGTTGAACATTCCAGGATCTTTCACAACAAATCACTCCTTCCTCTTACATGTACTTGAAGCCTGAAATTAAATGTCAGAGTAATTCTGTCAGAAAATCAACCATGATTGACATTTAAAAGCATAATGTAGTTTATATTTTAAATAAATGGGGAATGTGTCCATGGGACACAGATGATGCCCCCACTTGGTGACTTGCATATAAAGTTATAAAGGAGCATAACTAAAGAACGGTAAGCGTGACACTACCCAAAGTTTTACTTGATCTGAATTTTGTTGTAATAAGTAATGTGTATAAGTTTCATAACATTTGGATGAGGCAAACTAAAGTTAGAGAGCGGAAACAAAAAATTCAGCAATTTTTCCATTTTTAAAGGGGCATAACTCTAGAACAGTAAAAGTGATGCCACCAAAAAAAATTCAAACTTGATCTGTGTTTGTTGGTAATAAGCATTGTGTATAAGTTTCATTCACAACATTTGGTTGAGGCAAACTGAAGTTAGAGAACGGACACCAATTTTGGGACGTACGTACAGACAGACAAGGGTAAAACTTAATGCCCACTCCACTACGGCGTAAAAAAATGAAGAATTTGTGGCAACAATAATGAGCAAACAAAATTAAATTACATGCACAGCAAGTGTAAAAAGTGATTTTGTTTTTATATATATGTTGAATACAGACTTCTCGGGGCATGCTGTTTCGATGCCAGGGACAAGTTATTTCTATGCCTAAAAATTCTAAAATGCAGCTGAGCTACATTTGTACTCCTCATCAACCAAATTATGCTGAGGTGTCCTGTTTGGAATATGGGATATACAAATTTTGTGTTAAAAAATACTAAGCACAAAACAATAATGAATTTTTCAACTCAAATGTATGTGTTATTTGGTAAACAAGATAAGCCCTACGTGTATGTTTAAACCTGATACTTGACGTTATGAAATGATTTTGGGTGAAAGGACAAGAATTCAAAAAAAGGGGGGGTTGAATAATCTGGGAAATATACTTTGCAATTTTTTTGTATGGGAGCAAGGGGGATGGAAGTAGAAGTTAAAAGAGAAAATTTTAGAGTAAAAGGGAAGAGAAATGGGAGTTGGGGATAGGGAGTGGTAATCATGAACCTCTGTCCGAGGGAAGTTGTGGGGTACCCCATTTTCACAGGTTGGGAACAAACCCTCTATATGGTGTTCAGGGGCGGATCCAGCCATTTATAAAAGGGGGGTTCCTAACCCAGGATAAAGGGGGGGTTCCAACTATATGTCCCCATTCAAATGCATTGATCGTCAAAAAAAGGGGGGGGGGGTTCCAATCCACGGAACCCCCCTCCCCCCTGGATCCGCCCCTGGTGTTTAAACCTGTATAGAGGAATAATCCTTCTATAGAGGGATAAAATTATCCCTCTATAGAGGGGTATTTTTGATTAGACTGGATTTAAAGCAAAATAGGGCAGAATGGCATTTTCTACTTATTATGGCAGTAACCTGCTACATTTGATGCACCAATTGATGTACTTAATTTCATTCATATGCCCAGTTTACTGCTAAACTGACTGAATATACAATCTATTGTACACCATAATTGAAAGATGTGATGATCAGGTAAATTCCACTCAGTTATGCCTCACTGAACAGAATTTCTATTGTTAGATTTAACATAAAATTTAAAGGTCAACTGCATGTCCCTTTTGTTGTTGATCAGGTGTTCAGATAGGTATACAGTAGATTGCAAGTTCTGTCACTTTAGCAGAAAACTGGGCATCCCAGGCCATTTTTTAGTAAAAGAAATACAGAATACAGTAAAGTGCAATAATTGATGCATATATAGTGCTATAGATTATAGCAAATATAACTAGAAAATGCCATTCTGCCCTATTTTGCTTTAAATCCAGTCTAAACAAAAATACCCCTCTTTTATCCCTCTATAGAAGGATTATTCCTCTATACAGGTATAAACACAATATAGAGGGTTTGTTCCCAACCTGTTTTACTAGTCATTATAGACGCTAACGATAAATATTTAACTTCATTTGACCCTAACGTGGCTACGAAATTAGATTTTACGAATGATGATATAAAATCAAGACTCATTTGACGCTAACGGTAGTGCAGATCATGAGATGCTGAAAATGACTATCCCCTCCTCTTTGACTGTTTGACACGGATATTTTTTCAAAACAGGCTATACATGTTCACAACTTGCCAGTTAACAGGTTAAGGGTCAAGTAAACACATAAATAAGATACCAGCCATAACCAATAACGATTATACATAGAACAGAAATTTAGCCCATGCAAGGTTTCAGCCGCAGTGATTTTCTACAGTAGCGAGTATTTTGAGATAACCCCCCACTTTGTATTTTTCGTGATACTGATAACATTTGGCTGTCTAATATATTAAAATCTATGTTTTCTTATGTAATGACTCTACCTTCATCATTGTCTATTCGCCACTATGTCTGTTATTCATGCACATGGTCGTATTTATCAGTACAGTATGCTGCTCAGCAATGGCGACCCTGAAATTTCTGTTGTCCGATTATGGCGCCAGATTAGAGGGAAGCAACTCGCGCCAGATAAAATTACCGTATTTCACCAAAATAATCAAAATTTCGCTTTTTTATAACAAATAGTAAAATGTTCATCACATTTATATTCAGCTTTCGTCCATTGATATAATTACAAACATTATTTATTTAAAGACATCAATAAAAAAATCACAATAAAGTAATTAATGGAGTGCATTGAAATCAGACCTCATGGGGTAGAGGGGTTAAACAAAAGCTCGTAACTTTTTTAAAAGCCTGGTGACCCACATTTTATTTTACCTTAAAATGCTTTTTAAGTCTAAAACAACCAAGGGGAACGTTTACATTTCAAATTTAATTGTTTTTTCACATAATAATCATACTGACATGGTTCTAAAAGTCTTTGAATTTGATGTAGTCGTTATTGTTGAAAGGGTGTAAAAGTTTGGAAATAGGGTCAACATTGCACATTTCGCTTCCCTTTGAGGAGAAAACGAGCCTGGTGACCCCCTTTTTTCTTTGCATTTTTGGATTCAGCATAAAAAAATCTACAAAATATGTGAAAATAAAAAAATTCTACCGGGGGTCCTTATTGGGGTGAGCCACCTTAAAGGGTAGGCAGATCCATGTCCACTGGTGCACCAATCGTGTTGCCCATTTAAGTACAAATTCAGTAATAAATTTCATTTGGTGATGTATAATAACCCCGGGGTCAATTTTTCATATGGTATTTTGACCCCTGGTGCACTTTTCAAAGGGGTTCAAAATACAATATGACGCCAGTCTTGGTTATTCCATGAAATTCTATTCATTAAGAGTTTACATTGTAGGAAAAAATTATCTCTCTTATTTACCTATTATCTGCTGATTGTAAATTTAACTTTTCATCATACTATAAATGAGGTGAATGTACAAAAGGGATCTGACAACGACATGGCAAAAACGTTCAAAGGACAAAACAAAACATTGAACTAAAGACCAAGCAACACGATCTCCACTTAAACGGGGGGTGATATCAGGTGCCTTTGAAGAGGGACGAAAGATACCAGAGGGACAGTCAAACTCATAGATTGAAAAATAAACTGACAACGCCATGGCTAAAAATAAAAAGACAAACAGACAAATAATAGTACAGAAGACACAACATAGAAAACTAAAGACTAAGAGACACGAGGGTAGGCAGTTCCTGCTTCAAATGTGGCACCCGTCTTATTGTTCACGGAAGTATACATTTTGTGAAAAATCTAATCCGGTGATGTCAAAATTTGGGAAAAGAGGACAGGATACGACTATTGGAACATATTTATCATCATTGGTGAAACAGATATTCCATAATTATAGTCGACCAACTTGTGATGGAGTCCATAAAATGTTCCATTGGATAACTTTAACCTTACCACTTGGACCCCATGTTTCAATGCCTTCCTTGTAGGCAGCAACCCTATATCAAGGTTATCTTGATGAGAAATGCAAGTTCTGGCAAATCGTAATGACTGGGATACATTTTCCCCATATGGAGACCATCTGGACACAATATAATTAAAAACTGAAGTGTAAGATAGATGTGCTGATGGAAAGTTATTACTTTGTAGAGATGTTTCAGTTGTGGATGAACTCAATACATTGCTACTGTAGTACCACTGAAGTGCTTGGAAGTATTGAAGAGAAGAATAAGTCTCTTTATCCACCAGTTGTTCTTGTTGGTACACATAAAGACAAAGTTGAGGCTTCTGAAGAAGTAAAGGTATATATATAGTATACATATTTGATATTTTAACTTGAAGTAGAGGAAACTTTATAATGAATATGCAATATGTATAAATTTCCACAAAATTAAAATTAAAGGACATAATTAACCTATGCAGATGCTATTGCATTAATTTGTGATTTGCATTAAAACACAATCTCCTTTTTAGCTCTACTTTCTGAAGGAAATGTGAGCGTTTGCCATCACTTGGCATCCGTCGTTGTCCATCTGGTGTAAACTATTTCAAATATCTTCTCCTCTGAAACTACTGAACCAATTCCCACTAAACTTAAGCTGAATGATCCTTAGGGTATCTAGAATAAAGTTTGTGTTTTATTTTCTGTTTCGTCAAAAAACATGGCTGTCATGGCTAAAAATAGAACATAGAGGTAAAATACAGTTTTTGGCTTGTATCTCAAAAACTAAAGCATTTAGAGCAAATCTGACATGGGTAAAAGTGTTCATTAGGTGAAGTTCTATCAGCCCTGAAATTTTCAGATGAATCTAATAACCCATTGTTGGGTTGCTGCCACTAAATTGGTAATTTTAAGGAAATTTTGCAGTTTTTATACGCCTGTCAAAATTTTGACGGGACGTATTATGGTATACAAATGTCCGGCGTCCGTCTGTCCGTCGTAAACATTATGCACCGTAACTTGAGAACAACTTATCCAAATTTCATGAAACTTAATATAGTTGTTTCTTATGATGGTCAAACGATCTGTATACTTTTTGGTGAAAATAAGATTAAAACTTTTTGAGTTACGGGACTTTGTAACTAAAACAGGGGTGTGTTTTTTTTTTCACATGTCGCGCTGTATCTCAAAAACGATTTATGATTATTGGTGATGATTCAAAATTTTATTTTAGAGTTATTGAGTTTTTTGTAAAAAAAGGAGGGGTTTTCACATGTGGCGCCGTATCTCAAAAACAATTTATGATTATTGCTTAAAACTTTACACACTTCTTAGTTATATTAATCTAAAGAGCTGTATACTTTTTGGTGATGATTCAAAATTTTATTTTAGAGTTATTGAGTTTTTTGTAAAAAAAAAAGTGGGGTTTTTCACATGTTGCGCCGTATCTCAGAAACTATTTATGATTATTGCATAAAAATTCACACACAAGACGACGGGCATATCATGCGCTCGTGGCGCAGCTGATTATTTATGAATAAAATCCCATAACTTGGAAACTTAAAATCTAAAATTTATAAAAATTGAATGGGAGCTTGCAACAATAGATATAAACCATTTACCAAAGTTTCATGAAAACTGCTGAAAAAATATGTGAGTTATTGTCTTAAAACTGGAAAATCCCCCTTTTTTTAATGAATAAAACCCCATAACTAGTAAATGTAAAATCTGAAATTTATGAAAATCAAAAGTGAGCTTAAGTCAATAGATATAAACAATTCACCAAAATTTTAGGAAAACTGCTCAAAGCATTTTTGAGTTATTATCCGAAAACTGGAAAATCCCCCATTTTGTAATGAATAAAACCTCATAACTCGGAAACGTAAAATCTAAAATTTATAAAAATCAATAGGGAGCTCATGTCAATATATATATAAACAATTCACCAAATTTTCTTGCAAATTGGTGGAAGTGTTTTTGAGTTATTGTCCGAAAACTGGAAAATCCCCCTTTTTGTAATGGATAAAACCTCATAACTCGGAAACGTAAAATCTAAAATTTATAAAAAACAAAAGGGAGCTCACGTCAATAGATATAAACAATTCACCAAAGTTTCATGCAAATTGGTTAAAGCATTTTTGTCGAGCCTGCGACTTTTGTCGCAGAAAGCTCGACATAGGGATAGTGATCGGGCGGCGGCGGCGTTAGCTCACTTCTTAAAAGCTTTATATTTTAGAAGGTGGAAGACCTGGATGCTTCATACTTTGTATATGGATGCCTCATGTTACGAAGTTTCCGTTAGTCACATGTCCAATGTCCTTGACCTCATTTTCATGGTTCAGTGACTACTTGAAAAAAAAGTTAAGATTTTTTGTAATGTTAGATTCTCTCTTATTATAAGTAATAGGATAACTATATTTGGTATGTGCGTACCTCGCAAGGTCCTCATGCCCGTCAGACAGTTTTCACTTGACCTCGACCTCATTTCATGGATCAGTGAACAAGGTTAAGTTTTGGTGGTCAAGTCCATATCTCAGATACTATAAGCAATAGGTCTAGTATATTCGGTGTATGGAAGGACTGTAAGGTGTACATGTCCAACGGGCAGGTGTCATCTGACCTTTACCTCATTTTCATGGTTCAGTGGTTATAGTTAAGTTTTTGTGTTTTGGTCTGTTTTTCTTATACTGTATGCCATAGGTCTACTATATTTGGTGTATGGAATGATTGTAAGGTGTACATGTCTAGCTGGCAGGTGTCAACTGACCTTGACCTCATTTTCATGGTTCAGTGGTAAAGTTAAGTTTTTGAGTTTTGGTCTTTTTTTCTAATATTATATGCAATAGTTCAACTATATTTGGTATGTGCGTACCTCGCAAGGTCCTCATGCCCGTCAGACAGTTTTCACTTGACCTCGACCTCATTTCATGGATCAGTGAACAAGGTTAAGTTTTGGTGGTCAAGTCCATATCTCAGATACTATAAGCAATAGGTCTATTATATTCGGTGTATGGAAGGACTGTAAGGTGTACATGTCCAACTGGCAGGTGTCATCTGACCTTTACCTCATTTTCATGGTTCAGTGGTTATAGTTAAGTTTTTGTGTTTTGGTCTGTTTTTCTTATACTGTATGCCATAGGTCTACTATATTTGGTGTATGGAATGGTTGTAAGGTGTACATGTCTAGCGGGCAGGTGTCATCTGACCTTGACCTCATTTTCATGGTTCAGTGGTCAAAGTTAAGTTTTTTGAGTTTTGGTCTTTTTTTCTAATACTATATGCAATAGTTCAGCTATATTTGGTGTATGGAAATATTTTATGATCTATTTGGCAGTCACGCAGGTTTTATTTGACCTTGACCTCATTTTCAAGGTTCATTGCTCAGTGTTAAGTTTTTGTGTTTTGGTCTGTTTTTCTTAAACTATAAGCAATAGGTCAACTATATTTGTTGTATGGAAGAATTGTTAGCTGTACATGCCTGCCTAGCATGGTTCATCTGACCTTGACCTCATTTTCATGGTTCAGTGGTCAATGTTTAATTTACTTGGTTAATGTTAAGTTTATGTGACAGTTGTAATAATGCTTTATATTTAGGACTATCAAAATAATATCAATGATAAGTAAAGAAGGCGAGACATTTCAGCGTGTGCACTCTTGTCATGGTTAAGTCTGTTTCTTAGAAACTATAAGCAATAGGTCAACTATATTTAGTGTATTGAATGATTGTAAGGTGTACGTGTATTTCTCGTTTGGTTTATATGACCTTGACTTCATTTTCTTGGATCATGTTAAGTTTATGTAATAGTTGTAGTAAAGCTTTCATTTAGGACTATCAACATAACATCAATGGTTAGTAAAGAAGGCGAGACATTTCAGCGTGTGCACTCTTGTTGAGTTAATGTCCGACATGTTGACGGACGGATGGACGGACAGACAGACAACAGTATACCATAATACGTCCCGTAGACGGGCATATAAAAATCAGTTTTCAACAATAGAAAGGTGCCTTTCAATTTTTCAAGCTCTAAATCCTCATTGGTCCTTAAAAGTGGTGACAAAACAATCATAAGATCTGCCATTAACACCAAGCTTTCCAAATATTTATAGATATGACATACTACAACTACTGAAAAGTTTCCAGACTTGGAACTGGCACGTGAAAACGACGTAGTGTTAAATTTTAAATGTAAATTATTTTAAATTTAAAATTTAACACTACCTCATTTTCACGTGCCAGCTTCGAGTCGGGAACTATTTCAGTGGTATGTCATTTCTTATGTCAATTGCGTAGGCACCCACCATTCGTCTTTTGTAGGGAAGGCATAGGGCTTTTTGTCGGAACAAACAATATTTTTTCTTGTGTGACTGTCATACAAGTGAGAGTTTTAGCTAGCTATAAAGCCAGGTTTAATCCATCATTTTCTACATAAGGAAATGCCTGTACCAAGTCAGTTATATGACAGTTGTTTTCCATTCGTTTGATGTGTTTGAGCTTTTGATTTTGTCTTTTGATATATGACTTTCTGTTTTGAATTTTCCTTGGGGTTAAGTATTTTTGCTATTTTTCATTTGTATAATTTATTATTTAACTCCAAATTAAAATTTCAAAAAACATTTTTTTTTTCAATTAAATACAGGGAAAAGATTTTTTTGTAAAACCATATTGTTTTAATTTTATTTATTTCTAATTTTGAATAGAAAAAAAAACTATAATTTTCACGTGACTTCTCCTCTAGCATGTCTAGAACATTTTGTTTAAAGAAATGAATGGTCGGTGACAAATGTGCCTAAATGGATGTTTACTATAAAGCAATGAAAAAACTTCAGCGTTAAGAAACTCACTACCATTTATAATTACGAAAAGAATGTAAAACTGCCCAATCATCATGATCATTGTTCAAAAGCTTTTCATTTTAATTTGTAAATTCTAAATCTGTTTTTATCAAATTGCAATATTTCATCATTTAATCATAAAATATGGAGATAATCCGAATTATGCCCAGATGACAAGATAGTCAGGACAGAAAATATATTTTCACGACAAAGAGATGGGCATATCTTCATATTTTCCTTAACCTTGATCTTTCAAAGAATGTAATTATTTCGGAAGATATGCACAAGCCATGTCATAAAAATAATTATGTGTTTCTATCTATGACTTGCAGAAACTTTATACACCATTTTAATAATCAACCGACAATTTCTAATATGTTATTTATCCTTAAATTAAGAAAAGGTTGGGTGAACAACTTCTTTAATTTAGACAGCTTATATATACACTTGCATATAGTTCCTTTGTAAATCAAAATTTATATTAAATTGCCATTTATAAACTAATTTTGAGAATGTGATTTATGAAAATTAAGCAATTGATAAGAATAATGAAAGTGTTTTATCAGTATCTTACGTTCCTGTAAGCCATTGAATATAATTTGGTTTAAGATGTGTATTGATATCAGAGTTGATTCCCACACTTTTTGACAGCTGATTATCATACTGGTATTGAGGTTAATAATTTGTGTATTTAATTTATTACACATCTAACTGAATACACAACATTTTTACCTCAATAGTTGTAAAATCAGTGTCATAATAAAATGACATTAGTTAATGATTAAGGTATATTCAAGTTACAATTATCAGTAATTTGGTGGAAGCAATAAACACAATTACATAACTCTTACCTGAGCATTTTCTGCAATACATCTATGTGTATATTCCCTATTATATTGCTATTTAACAGTAATTGGAATTATCTTAGCATTAGGTATTTGTACATGTATATTTGAATACAGGAAATGTATATTTACCTCAAGGTTTATGACCCCTTTTGTAGCCATGTGAATTACGAAATTTTCAAACTGCAGTAGTATCAAAACAGCAAAAATAATGAATAATAGAGATGGGCCATTGTACATACACCAAGGGGAAACTTCCTGCAAAGCATTATTATTTATTGTTTCATTGCATTTGATAGAAAAATGGGATTTTGTGGCAAATAAAACCAAGATTTTTGTAGAAAATCCACAGACATTAAAAAAGAGATTTTAGTCATGAAATTTTAAACATAGATTACTCACTTGTTTTTCTATGATGTGCTAGCATTTATTGTTTACAAAAAAACCTATACAACCTTTAAATTCATAAAAACCTCGTGCTGAGTCACTAAAGTCGAGCTCACCCTAGAGCGTGTACTTGAATTGGTCCATATTTATTTTTGTTTTAACTAATATCTAAATTTATAAACTTGTTTTAAGGAAATCATTGCTAGCACTGCATGCAATAATCCCCTATCTATCGAGCACCGAATTGCCAAATATGAGAGTACAAGGGGAAAGGCTGTGGATTTTCTATAAAATTTCCATATGTTTAGCATTTAATCAACACAAGAGTACATAATCCTTAATGAAGAATGAACACCAATTTATATAAAAGTTAGTTATTTATTTGTGTTGATGTTGAGAAATTGCATTTTTAATGCCTCTTTCTGGAAATTATTAAGCAAATTATTATTAATGGCATATAAAAATATGCTATACATTTGAAGATTCTTGTCAAAATAATTGAATTTCAAATGTTTCTGAAAAAAGTGTTTCAAACAGTGTCTTCAATTGAAATACCAAAATAATGTGCACCAATATTGCAAAATTCTCCATTTGTTTGGCAACAGAATAGATATGTTACAGTGAGATTATGGAAATAAAGATAACAAAATACTTATTGAAAGTATGTCAGAAAAAAATGTCGGACTAGCTACAAAATTGGCTGAATCACAACATCCATGATGCTTTGTTTTTATAAAATCCATCACAATTATCTCACGCTTTTATGGCTTGAACATTAAAGTTGGTATTTATATACTCCTTATTAAATCTAAGTACATGGTAAAATCGGGAATACAGCCACTAGAACTAATATAAGACTTTTCGTAATCCAACCGTAATTTCAATCGATATCTGAACCATGTTTACATCCTTATACAAAGTTACCAGACACACATACATATGGTAGTATTAGGTTTTCTCAGAGTTGGACATTGACAATCACAAACAACGATTTGGCATGGACATTACTTGGAAAGAAAAAATGTTCTTGAAATTATTAACTCGGAAATTGATTTTGCTTTGAGTAATTTTTTGAGTGAAAAACTATTCGTAGAAAGAGTGGATACTTGAAGATGCATCATACAACTGAATGTTCTTGAGATAAATTCACACCAAGCCATCACGACAAAATGGAGTGTGTTATTTTTAACTCGAGATATGAATAACAACAAATAGTGAAAACCAAAATTGACCATAAAATATTCAATTACACTTTCGTGAGTATAAATCAAACTCAATTTGTTTCTAGAAAAAGTAAATCCAAGGTAATTGGGAGTCGGTAAAACTTAAAAGTTAGTAGTACAGTCATATACTCATGCAATAATATATTCTTTGGAAATGTAATGCAGCATTACCATTTCCAAGCCATAATAATTGAAAACTATCTTAATCTCTGATGTTGTTAGCATTTCATGAAAAGGAATTTGTTTTATTATAATCAATCACAAAACCTTTTATGTAAACTACCTTTACAGCATTTAGCGTTTTTCACCATATTAAGTCAATCAAGTTGGTCCTATTTCGTGTTGAAACGAAACATTTATATCACGAGTTATAAGACAAATAAAATTATAAAAAATCTGAAGTAATGATTGCTTATTTTCGTTGCCAGAAAGAAAAAGAAATATGGGGAAGAAAAAAAAATTGCAAGTGTTCAATGGGCTAGACGAATCTGTGACTTTTATACTAATATATTTTGTCCGAGGACGTTTACTGTTCGTTTACTTAAAAACTTGGAATACCTCTGGATCTGGTGTGCAGGTTGACTTTTTCATATTCGATAATCTTGATAGAAAGTTTAACGTAATATCTGTCCAAAAGATCGCCCTTAAAACAATGAAGCTTAAAAGTGCAAGTGTTCAATGGGCTAGACGAATCTGTGACTTTTATACTAATATATTTTGTCCGAGGATGAATCAATGTGGAATTCACTCAAATTTATGTCTCTCGTTGACTTTGCTTTAAAATAATAAGACTTTTTTCTTTTACGCAACAAGGCGTAAATACTAAAAAATAAACATATACATGTACATGCATATTTGTTTAAACATAACAACACATAGATACAGTAAATCAAAATATTACTTGAGTGCTAATTAAAAGATAATAACTGTGAAAGGAGTGATCAATTTCTGTGTTAAATAAAGGCAACAGTGATATACCGCTGTTCGTTACTTGAAATTTAATAATTTTATTTTTTAACATCAATAACTTTATAACTTTCTATACCTACTCTTAGAAATATTCATCATTATTCAAATATAATACCCTTTAGGTGTTTAAAAAGTTTTTTACTCAATAAGATACACAAGGGTACATATAGGGACAAGCAAATAAAATTTATAGATGTAAGAAGATGTGGTATGAGTGCCAATGAGACATCTCTCCATCCAAGCCATAATTAGTAATAGTAAACCATTATAAGTCAAAGTATGGCCTTCAACACGGAGCCTTGGCTCACACCGAAGAGCAAGCTATAAAGGGCCCCAAAAATGACTAGTGTAAAACCATTCAAACAGGAAAACCAACGGTCTAATCTATAAAAAAACGAGAAACACTTATGAACCACACCAACAAACGACAACCACTGAACAACAGGTTCCTGACTATGTCTATATTTTTACAACTTGAAACTGTATAATTTTATAGATTATATGCCAATAAAAATCTAAACTGACAATTATGAATGATGTTTATTCCAAAAATTGAATTCTTTGAAGAAAAATATAGGCATATAGGTTTAAATAACAAAATGAATAAACATTTTGAATTAGGTGGATGACAAAATTACAAAATTGGTCTAATCGGAAAACGATTTTTGCAGGAAATTGTGACCATAAAAATTTTAAAGACAGGGGGAAATTAAAGTAGACATATGTATTTTTAATATAAGATCAGTTCTAGCCGTGTGTTATTTTTAGAGATTAAACTCAATATTTAGACGACTGTTTGCCTGTTAAATCATTTTTAAATTAAAAAAAATGCATTTTGAATCATTTGCAATTTGTTGAGGTTTTGCGGCTCGTGGAACACGAAAAATGAAATGCAACATGTTAAATCTTCTCAAAATATGAAAATGATCAATACACCTCCATCATACTGTGTACTTTTTGTTTAAGTGAATATTTGTAAGAAAAATATTACAATTAAAATACAGTTATTATGAATATCTGTGTTTGTTTCCATGTACAAACTTTTCATTTTTTTGGGGGGAAAAGTGATTTTCCAACCTACCTACCCAAACCTGGCAGGGTAGAGTCGGGTTTGGGTAAACAGCGGTCTATTTTTATACGACCGCAAAAAATTTGTTTGCGTCGTATATTGCTATCACGTCGTCGTCATCCGAAGACATTTGGTTTCCGGACAATAACTTTAGTTTTAGTGTATGGATCTCTATGAAATTTAATCAAAAGGTTCAATACCACAAACGAAAGGTTGGGATTGTTTTTGGGGGTGATGGTCCCAACCGTTCAGGAATAAGGGACCCAAAGCAAGCAATTTTTCAAGTTCAGGACAATAACTTGTTTATATGTATTTTGTTTGCTCTGAATTTGTACCACAAGGTTCAATACCACAAGTAGAAGGTTGGGATTCATTTGAGGGGTAATTGCTCAAACCGTTAAGGAATTAGGGGCCAAAAAGGGTCTAAAACAAGCATTTTTCTAGTTTTCAGGCAATAACTTGTGTTTAAGTGCTTAAATTGTACCACATTTTACAAAAAGAAAATTTTTGCATTTGTTATTTTTTTGGAAAAAGGAGGGGGGGGGGGGGGTGTAAAAAGAAATTTTGGGAGGGGGTAAACAAAAATATTTTTTTTGGGGGGGGAGGGGGGCATTTTTTTTCCCTCAAGATTTATGAAATTAAAAAGAAAATTTCTTCAAATATTATTTTTTTTTGGAAAAAGGAGGGGGGGGGGGGGTCAATTTTTATTCCTCAAGATTTAATTAATTGTCAATTTTCCAAAGAAAAATTTGGGGTCACAATTCTTTGTATATAGTCTGAAAACACATTTACTAAATGTTGCGCAACAGCACAGTGCATTGCACAAAAGCAAGAAATTTTCAATTGAATATAAATTCAAATCATATAACCAATTTCAAGTTCTTTGACTACATTTATTCTGTGTCAGAAACCTATAATGTGTCAAATATTTAATTACAAGCCAACTTCGAACCTGTATCAAGCTTGAATATTGTGTCCATTTTTGCCCCAACTGTTCAGGGTTGGGCCTCTGCGGTCGTATCCAGCTGCGCTCGGCGAAGCAGTTTATTGAATATTTGTTATTGCCCCCTAGATATTTTCGTAATACTTTCAACCCCTTGTATCACTCAACTAAGTTTTATTTAATTTTGCGGAAAATGGCGACAAATGAAGCATCAGTAAAAAGTGAGGAAAATCACGAGACTGTTTGTGGAACTACATATATTCGTGCATACAGAAGGGGGCATCATCATTGTCTAGTGATGTATATCCAACCTCATTGTTAAACGGTACTCTGATTTATAATAATCATTGACATATCTTTTATGTTTTTTGTCATAGACTTATTGAAGAAAACGACTTTATTTTTTAGATTGAGGATGCATGTAGAGATTGCCTTGATAAATATGTTGAAGATGTTTCAGCTGATGCACGAAGACACATTAGTGATAAGTACGAGTACTTTATTTCAAACACAGAAGATAATCCTAGTGTATTCCAGCTAATACGACAAAATCTCTTGAACTTAGCCAAAACAATGAGAACGTGGAATAAAGACTATCCTATTAAATTTATTCAGTTGGAAAAATGTCTACGAGAGAAAAAGAAGGAGTTACCAATTATTTCCTTGAATGAAATTAAGCAAATATCTACTGAAACACCAAATCCATTAAACCATGAAGAACTTATGTTATATTTAAATTTTCATCATGAACTCAGAGATTTGGTTTATTTTGAGGATCTTCCAGATTATATCATTTTAGATACTCAATGGTTGTCTGATGCTTTTAAATGTATCATAACAGCAGAGAAATTTCAATCAGATGCCAGTCGGCATCGTATTACGGATGAATGGAATGATTTGAATATTAGAGGAATATTACATAGTGTGGTTTTGGACCAAATATTAGAAACAAATAAGAAAATATTTAAATTTGAGGAAAAGCAAAACGTGTTTCAACATAAAGATCATATACTGAAAGTCATGGAGAAATTTGATATTATAATACGTCCAACTATATCAGACAGAGATGCCACTGATACAAAACCTTGCTATTACATACCTTGCATGGTTAAAAAAGGACCTGACTGTCCTATAAACGAACAATTTTATGTGACAGAAAAAAATTGTACAAAATCCACTTGGTTATGTTTCAAATTCAAATTTCTACCAGGACATTTAATGAATCATTTGATCGCTTCACTGAGCCGAAAGTACGAAATTGCAGAAGTGCCTGTCCGTGGACAAAAAAAACGGCCTATTGCTCTTTTCAGAGGAACTGTCGTCTTTAAGTTACAGAAGACTTCAAAATTACTTGTGATGACATATCCAAATGTTATTCAGATACAGGTTTGGGATTTTGGGAAACATGGTAACATTGAAAGATGTTTTTTCAATGAAATTGATCATTTTGTCACAGAAGAAATAAACACTATAATAAGTAAAAGATTCCAAATGACGACTGTAAAATTTGACAAAAAGTGTGAATGTGGCCTTGCAGAACCGGACTGTGTGACAGGATTTTATGAGCAGGATGCAGATTATTTCTGTGAGATGTGTACAGAAACACATACCAATGAATGGTCTGATCATGCACCGATAAAGGTAATTTATTAGTTTAATTGTTTGATAGGAAAGAAATTTCATCTTATTCATGTTATTGCATCAAGCTAGAAGTCATTTTGCAATTATATAACATGTTTTGACCACTTGTTCTCACTCTTTTCCTTTGATTCATAAATATTATAAACAGGCACTCGTTTAGCAAATATAAAAAAAAAAACATTTAATTGTAATTGTATTTGTTTTTTGTATAACATGTCTTTTTGGATTAAATTGGCACCAATATCTGTATGCTTACTATGTTTATTAAGAGAATAAATGGATATGTCCCCCTCAGTCAGTTTTCAGTTGCTTTTGGTTAACCTTATTGATTTGGTATATTTTTGAAGACTAACATACACTAGACAATTGATATTTAGTTTGTGGATGTTGTTAGAATTTCTACATGATTTCCAATTTTAGCAAAGCAGAATGTAGGGATGTACCTTTAGTCATGCTTGAATGACTTTTACATTTTGCTTGTTTAGTTATTCGAAGTCATTTGTGTGTACAGTTCACTCAGAATTGACATACATATAGTCTATATAGTCATGCTCTGCTGAAAGAAAAGTACAAAGGGATATTAAATTCCTTAAGGTTGTTATTTACACAGAGATGTCCCAATTTATCAAATTCCTGTAGTTTTAGATTATTGCATCAAGGAGATAACATTGTATTTTGTTATATGTTCCATTAATGATTGAGAAATTAAGAAGAGTAATGAACATTCAATAGTGGTAACTATTTTGTAATTTGTATAAGATGACCGAGATTTCTGAAAAAAACTCAACATGTTCGAGGATCTTATTCTTGCATAGAAAACACCAGTCAAATCCACAGTACATCCACAAAGGTAACACTCTACTGTTGAAAACATACATGTATAAACTAGTATTATGTAAATATATGTAATTTTGTGTAACTAATGGTGTAGGATGTTTTAGATTAATCATAATAGCATCAATAGCATTTTTCACAGTTCGATACTTGTTACTATCAATTATGTTTGAATTGACCAGAGCTACTATATATATATTATGTGGTGTTACAATGAAGATCATTAAGAAAAACCAGGTAAATCCAATGTATATATTACATAGAATAAAGCTGCTTCTCACGAATAATTTTAGGTCACCTTGCCTTACAGGCTGTGTGAGCTTTTTTAACTCGGTATATGCGATCTGCCAATTGTAACCATTCACATTTTATTTGATCTCTAAAGCCACTTTATAAATTGCAATGAAACTGGACAGGTATAAAGAATATTAGATGATGTACACATAAGCCTCATTTATTTATAATCGGACAAAATCATTGCCACCAGAGACAATCATTTGAATTTAAAGTTTGGCTGTAACTGTATAATTCTTCTCAAAAACGGGATACAGATGTATCACATCCTAATTTTTACGGTAATGCTGTTCATTAAGCATGTAAATTTAGATACGATCCATGTAAATGTATTGATCCTTTCAATAAAATTCTTCTTAAATGATATCATTTCAACACCGGTGTAAAGATGTTTAAATATTGTTTTATCGGTACTAACATTAGTTTTGTTTTTCATGAATTTAAACACAACAAAACAGACTAGATATGTACTGCCATACAGTTAAGAAAATGTGTCCTACTTCCTGTCGATATAATGTACTTATATTTTGGTATTGCACAAGGGTATGCTCCTCTTAAACTGTTTATGACGCCTTTGAACTAAAACCATTGGATGTGTACTGATAAATTCTTCAGTCTGGGAGAATATTATTCATGTATTAGTTGTTATTGGCTTTGAACTAACTTCCAGTAACTACGAGTACACTTTGATCGGTAATTTTTGTCTTTTCTCCTAAAGTTAATTATATTTAACATTGCCATAAAGCGCGGAGGTTTGGCTAGCCACAAAACCAGGTTCAATCAACCATTTTTTCTAAGAATGTCCTGTACCAAGTCAGGAATATGGCATTTGTTATTTAATAGTTCGTTTCTATGAATGTTGCATTGTTGTTTGTTTTTGTTACACTTCTGTGTTCTGTTATTTCGTTGTTTTCCTCTTATAGTTGTAGTGTTTCCCTCGGTTTTAGTTTGTATATACTCTTTATACATTTGTTATAGGAGTTATTGCCCTTTAATGATGATATTGACCTTATATTTGCATCTTATTCAAAAGCTACAATAGATAAAGAAAAAATGTAACGGGCAAAAATACTGAGCAAGACCAGATCTACAGAAGGGTTAACTTAGCCGAATTGTCAATCAACTCCCTTTTTGGAGTTTTTGCCCTAAAATGAGTATATCTACTCTTCTTCAGTGTTGGTAAAAAAACTAGAGAAGATATATATAAAAGGATCAGCAAGACATGATCTACCGTTCTCTAACTTTAGTCCCTTTATAACGTTATATGCAAGCGAGATGTTCCATGGACACATTCCCCATTTATGTTCACTATCTTGAAAAACTACAATGGACAAACATAAACAATTAAATCCAGCAAAAATGATGAAAAAGATCAGACATTGGCCCTCACAGTTACTATTATACAAATATTCATGTTACATAATCCATTGTATCAATTTTATGAAAGGAAGTCAGGTGAGGGATACAATATAAATAGGACGATGTGTGGTATGATTGCCAATGAGACAACTCTTTATCCAAATCACAATGTATAAAAAGTTAACAATTATGGGTCAAAGTACGGCCTTCAACAAGGAGCCTTGGCTCACACCGAACAGCAAATTTATAAAAAAGGGCCCCAAAATGACTAGTGTAAAACAATTCAAACAGGAAAACTAAAGGTCTGAATCTATATAATAAACAAGAAACGAGAAACACTGATGAACCACGCCAACAAACGACAACCACTGAACAAAAGGCTCCTGACTACAAGCTCCTTTTTCTCTTTCTTTCTCATAATAATTGTAACATGAAATCCACATAGATTGATGCCCAAAGAGGATGTATTTCTTTGAGTGCCTCAGTATTCATCTTCATGTATTGGTTTTGTGTCTCTCACAAAATTGTTCAGTAGATGTCATTGCTGACATGTCACTTTTCTAGGTTTTTTTTCATTTCTCGGATACCTCAACCGAATTCTAGTGAGGTTACAAACTGCTTGTCAGATAAACATACTTATCTATATTGGAGAGGGGGTATATAATGAATATAAAATATATATGTCCATCCATCTGACAGGTTCCATTTGACCTCAAACTTTTTTTTGCTGATCAATAATAATGTTAATTTCTGTTTTATCTGTTGTATAACCTTAATCTTAGAGACTTTCAACATAAAATTAAATTATAAACAGTTATAAGAAGGCGAGAAATTTGAGTATGTGGACTTTGTTTCTGTCATTTTATGAGTAACAGGAAAACTTGGTGTATAAAATCGTTGCAAGTGGAACATCAGAAGTAATCACCTGTCCTTGACAACATGTCCATGGTCAATGTAATGTTGTAGTGAAGTAAATTACAGCGGGAAATCGAGATTTACCTTAATACCATGTGAGAAATTACATTTTGCAATGGAACTGTGAAATGAAAACACTGTATGAAGGGATGTTCCTAAGAAGGTTTTTGCCAAGTTTGTTAGTTCTGTCCTGAGGAAAGCTAGAACACTCCAATCTGGAAATGAGGAGACAAAGGGTCCAATGGTCTCATTTTGAAAATTCCTTTCTATAACAAATATATTTCTAAGCAATTGATACAAAATTTGCAAGATATGTTACTGAGAAGGCCCTTAACAAGAAACATGACTTTGATGTATATTAGAAATTCAAAATGGCCACTTGTTGAGGACAAAGTATTCCTTGAATCTGAAGGGACAGTTTTTTTTTATTTTCAAGAACAAGAGGTTTAATGAAAAAATCATGCACGTGCGTTCTTTTGAAGGTATTTATGGATGTATCTTATATGTATTTACTTTTGGGCAAAATGTTGGGATAAAGTATTTTCATATTTGGCCTTGCTGTAAGTCCAGTATGACTGCAAAGTGATAACAATTTGTGCAATGATCGATTTTTACAAAACATCTTTCTTCTCAAAACCAATGAACCAATTAAAATCAATTGTGATAGGCATGTTCCTTTGAAGGTCTGTAACAAGTGTTATGTTCATTTTAGAAATGGCTACCAGCACATGTCAAAGGTTACATTGAAACGCCAGGAGTAATTTCTTTTAGATTTCTTTAAGGATAGGCATAAGAAAATATAAATAATCCAAGCAGAAGTGTTCGTTAAAAGGTATTGATCATTGATAAAATGTGTTAACTTTCGTCTGGTCTTAATCAAGAGTCTATGTATGCCGTTTGAATGAAAACTCAAAAATGTGAGTGATTCGGGCTCCAATCAGCCTCGATTTGTTTATTTATTGTATTACAGTTTGTTCTTGTGTTGTAATGTTGTACCACTGTTCCAGTTAAGTTAAGGGTGGGCACCCGCTAACATGTTAAACCCTGCCACATTTGTATGTGTCCTTTTAAATTCAGCAGCCAGTATTTCAATGGGTCTCGTTTTTTTCTGTATATCATATTTGTTTTGCGTTCGTTTAGTATTACATGTATCTATTATACTACTTAATGAGTAATTTTATTTTTATTACAAATATATGTAATATAGTTGAAAGAAGAAAGCGTTATTTTTTGCGGTCGTATATTGGTATGAAGTTGGCGTCGTCGTCGTCGTCGTCGTCGTCGTTCTTTGATATGCTGAATCTAAATATGTACTAAGATTTTTGATTATGGGCCCAGTTTTCAAGTCAGTCCAAATTGGGGTCCAAAATTAAACTTTGTTTGATTTCAACAAAAATTGAATATATGGGGTTCTTTGATATATGCTGAATCTAACCATTTATTTAGATTTTTGATATTTGGGTCCGGTTATCAAATTGGTCCACATTGAGGTCTAAAGGGTCCAAAATTGAACTTGATTTGATTTCATCAAAAATTGAATTCTTGGGGTTCTTTGATATGCTTAATCTAACCATGTATTTAGATTTTGGATATTGGACAATAATAGGTAAATGTCCAATTTAAAATTTTTAAGTTTTTAAGTTTAATTTCTTAGACCACATTCATTCTGTGTCAGAAACCTATGTTGTGTCAACTATTTAATCACAATCCAAATTCAGAGCTGTATCAAGCTTGAATGTTGTGTCCATACTTGCCCCAACTGTTCAGGGTTCGACCTCTGCGGTCGTAAAAAGCTGCGCCCTTCGGAGCATCTGGTTAATAATCGATTGCTTCGATGGATACGCAATAACTTCAGGGTGATAGAAAGGGAAACAAAACAAAAAGAAAACAGATATGAAATAAATGAACAACGGAAAATATTTTTTTTACAAAAGATAACACGTCTGTTTTATTGATTATGTAAATTTCCTCGAAGTAAGTCTTCGCATTACGTTTGCTGGTCATATATTTGGTTTCAATTCCCTTAGACAAAGTTAACCTGGCTATTATTTGTAGGTCCTCTTTGGTCATATATCTCTTCAACTCTTTCGGTTGTTATACATCCTTGGCTTTCATATATTCTGCTTGGAGCTTTCTTGTAAAGGTAAATCCAGAAAAAAACATCTCTTATGCATGAAACTTATAACATATTGTTTTCATTTTTACAGCACTGGGTCGATACCTCTGCTGGTGGACTTTCAGTGTCCAAGGCATCATCAGTAGTCATTACCTCTGAACTCACATATTTATGACAAACCTTTCTGAAATTGTCAGTTAATAAATTTTGAAATTATAAAAAATGTAAAGTTTCTCCTCCCTCAGGCAAAGTTGACCTAAGATAGATTTGGCTATTTTTTTAGGTCCATTTTGGTCATATAACTCTTCAACTGTTTCGGTTCTTATTCATCCTTTGAAGGTTAATCAAGAAAAACGCATGAAATATATAACGTGTTGTTTTCATATCTAATTGAAATTTTACCTGTTATAGCTTGCTATGGAGTATTGTTTTTGCTCATTGTTGAAGGCCGTACAGCGACCTATTGTTTCTAACATCTACTTCATTTGTTCTCTGGTTGATAGTTACATTGTCTGTCATACAATATCTTCTGATTGTATGTCTAGGTCGCTCACCTCTTGTGTATTTGTTTATCGCGCTAATACACATTCTTTTACTTTTTCAGTGTTACTTTGAGTTTTCCAAACCTTGTTTGTATAAAACACCCCAAAAAATTATGTCTTACATGATTGATATGTTGAACCGTGTTTGTGAACTATTACTACTCTGTTAAAAAAGTAGGGTGAACAGGAAAGAACTAGTACACATTTTTATTAAGGGGCGAGATTCTCTTGCTATGTTGAAGACCCATTGGTGGCCTTCGGCTATTTTCTGCTCTTTGGACGGGTTGCTGTTTCTTTGACACATTCCCCATTTCTATTCTCAATTTTAGGAAGGATAAGTATTGCTTAGTATCTGTCAAAATTGAATAATTTCTAAAGGTTTACCAATTATAAAATTAAAAACAGGATTTGTTAATTACAGGTGCGTGTCAATTGCTTTTCTCAATCATCATTGGGTATCTAGTTTCAAAAATGTGTCCGATGACCTGGCCAGCCAACTAAGATGGCCGACATGGCTAAAAATAGAACATAGTGGTAAAATGCAAGTGGTGTCTGTTATTTTTGAAAACTGTTATAAATAGAGAAAATCTGACTAGGAACAAATGTTCAAAATGTTGAGCTCTACCAATTGTTCATATTCGTCAAAACTGTCAGACGACTTTTTATAGGAGTTATTGCCCTTTAATGACACATTGACCATTTTTTTTGTCAAGACTGCGACTTCAGTCGCAAAAATCAAGACATAGGGATAGTGATCTGGCCGTGATGGCGTTAAATAACTTCTTAAAAGCTTAATATTTCAGAAGGTAGAAGACCTAGATGTTTCATACATTGTATATAGATGCTTTATGTTATGAAGTTTCCATCTGTCATAGATCCATTGTACTTGGCCTCATTTTTATGGTTCAGTGACTACTTGAAAATAAAATAAGATTTTTTTGTAATCTTAATTTCTCGCTTTCTCACTGACAAAATTCTATACAAACAACGGTATATTGCCGGCTCATCTGAATGTTCTACAAAGGAATCGTCCATTAGATTGACATAAATTCCGTCCGCAGTGAGAGAGGATGTTCAGAAATACTGTGAAACAGTTTACTGGCATAGTGGCATTAATCATATATGGATTCTAAAAATAACTCTAAAGAACTTCTGGATAATTTTAAATCTCGATCTTTCTCTTAAAATAATTCTATCAAAACTTTAGATTTTCAACTCCGTATACCACCATTCCCCATGTGAAATTGAAAAATCGTCTGAATGAAATAATCCACAATGCTTTTCATTATAAAAATGGTAGCATAAGCTATAAATGTATTACTTTAGGATACCATACGGCATATGTTGCTAATAGTGAACAAAAAGGTAACACAGATGAACAACTGAACAGTATGCTGGAGTTTCTTTTTGACAACAATTTGTTGAAGTTGGAGGTAGACTTTTTCAACAAATTATCGGCATTCTTATGGGAACGAACTCTGCGCCTCTCCTTGTCGGCCTCTTCTTATTTGCATACGAGTCGGAGTTCTTTCAAACACTTGTCAAAAACTAAAACATCAAAGAACCTGATCATTTAATTTCACATTCAGATATATTGATGATGTTCTTTCCATCAACAATCGAAACTTTTCTAATTGGATTCTAATATTATATCCTCCAGAACTAGAAATGAAAGAAAAAGCAGACACGGTTTCCTTTGCCTTATTTTTAGACTTATACCTCGAATTTGACATCTCAGTACTATAATCTATTAAAAGAGAGACGATTTTAATTTTGAAATTATCAATTTTCCCCACCATTGTATTCAATATACCAACTTCACTATGGGATACACATTTCCCAACTCATTCGATCGGTATTCAAGACTTTATAAAAACATCAACAGTGTCTAAGCAGAAAGTTGATTAACCAGGGTTATGTCAAAGAAGGCCCCATCCTTTTTTTAAACAAGATCATCGGAAGATACCAAGACCTTTTTGATAAATATTCCGTATCAACTTCACAAATAATACATGATGGTGTTTAAGTATAGATTCTAGGTTTTGATAACTATTTTACACCACTGGGTCGATGCCACTGCTGGTGGACGTTTCGTCCCCGAGGGTATCACCAGCCCAGTAGTCAGCACTTCGGTGTTGACATGAATATCAATTATATGGCCATTTTTATAAATTTCCTGTTTACAAAACTTTGAACTTTTCGAAATACTAAGGATTTTCTTATCCCAGGAGTAGATTACCTTAGCCAAATTTGGCACAACGTTTTGGAATTTTTGGGTCCTCAATGCTCTTCAACTTTGTACTTGTTTGGCTTTTTTCACTGTTTTTGATATGAGCGTCACTGATGAGTCGTATGTAGACGAAACGCGCGTCTGGCGTATTAAATTATAATCCTGGTACCTTTGATAACTATTTTGAGGTTGTTTATCATCTTAATTATGTGTTATTGTGTTCTTTTAAATGTCTTTATAAATTATAAACCTTTACTGTTTCGTCCATTTTTGGTTATATCCTTTTGTCTTGGCTCGGTGCTTATACATCCCGCCATTGAGTTATAGTGCTATGGTCTTTTTTGGTATTTTTGTCTTCCTTTTTGCTTTTATGCTATGTCTATATGCCATTTTGTTTTTCTTTGTTGACATATTTGTATATTTTTTAATAGTGATTAAGATTAAAACACAATGTTGACTGATGTATCCCTATTTCTGATATTTTTATACGACCGCAAAAAAATTTTGCTGTCGTATATTGGTATAACGTTGGTGTCGTCGTCGTCGTCTTCGTCGTCGTCGTCCGAAGACACATTGGTTTTCGCACTCTAACTTTAGTTTAAGATAATGGATCTCTATGAAATTTTACCATAAGGTTCAATACCACAAAAGGAAGTTTGGGATTGATTTTGGGGGTTATGGTACCAACAGTTAAGGAATCAGGGGCCCAAAAGGGGCCAAAAATAAGCATTTTTGTAACTTTCAGACATAACTTGTGTTCAAGTGTATGGATCTCTCTGAAATTGTACTGCAAGGTACCATACCACAAAGGGAAGGCTGGGATTGATTTTGGGGGTAATTGTCTCAAAATTTTAGGAATTAGGGGCCAAAAAGGGGCAAAAAACAAGCATTTTTATAGTTTCAGGACAATAACTTGTGTGTTAGTGTATGGAACTTTATGAAATTGTACTACAAGGTTCCATATCAAAAAGGGAAAGCTTGGTTTGAGTTTGGGGGGTAATTGCCCTAAATGTTTACGAATTTGGTGCAAAAAAGGGGCCTAAAAACAAGCATTTTTCTAGTTTCCAGACAATAACTTGTGTTCAAGTGTATGGATCTCTCTGAAATTGTACTGCAAGGTACCATACCACAAAGGGAAGGCTGAGATTGAGTTTGGGGTTGATGAATCATAAGGAGGTTCAAAAAATTTGGGGGAGGGATTTTTTTTTTCCTTTTTTAGCTCACCTGGCCCGAAGGGCCAAGTGAGCTTTTCTCATCACTTGGCGTCCGTCGTCCGGCGTCGTCCGTCGTCGGCGTTAACTTTATACATTTTGAACTTCTTCTAGAGAACCACTGAATGGAATGAAACCAAACATGGCATGAATGTTCCTTATGAGGTGCTGACCAAGTGTTGTTACTTTGTAGCCGATCCATCATCCAAGATGGCCGCCAGCGGGGGACTTAGTTTAACATAGGACCCTATGGGAAATGCATACAAATGACTTCTTTTAGAGAACCACTGAATGGAATGTAACAAAACATAGCATGAATGTTCCTTACAAGGTGCTGACCAAGTGTTGTTACTTTGTAGCTGTTCCATCATCCAAAATGGCCACCAGTGAGGGACTTAGTTTAACATAGGACCCTATGGGAAATGCATACAAATGACTTCTTTTAGAGAACCACTGAATGGAATGAAACAAAACATAGCATGAATGTTCATTAGGAGGTGCTGACCAAGTGTTGTTACTTTGTAGCTGATCCATCATCCAAGATGGCCGCCAGCGGAGGACTTAGTTTAACATAGGACCCTATGGGAAATGCATACAAATGACTTCTTTTAGAGAACCACTGAATGGAATGAAACAAAACATAGCATGAATGTTCCTTACAAGGTGCTGACCAAGTGTTGTTACTTTGTAGCTGTTCCATCATCCAAAATGGCCGCCAGTGAGGGACTTAGTTTAACATAGGACCCTATGGGAAATGCATACAAATGACTTCTTTTAGAGAACCACTGAATGGAATGAAACAAAACATAGCATGAATGTTCATTAGGAGGTGCTGACCAAGTGTTGTTACTTTGTAGCCGATCCATCATCCAAGATGGCCGCCAGCAGGGGACTTAGTTTAACATAGGACCCTATGGGAAATGCATACAAATGACTTCTTTTAGAGAACCACTGAATGGAATGTAACAAAACATAGCATGAATGTTCCTTACAAGGTGCTGACCAAGTGTTGTTACTTTGTAGCTGTTCCATCATCCAAAATGGCCGCCAGTGAGGGACTTAGTTTAACATAGGACCCTATGGGAAATACATACAAATGTCTTCTTTTATAGAACCACTGAACGGAATGAAACCAAACATGGTATGAATGTTCCTTATGAGGTGCTGACCGAGTGTTGTTACTTTGAAGCCGATCCATAATCCAAGATGGCCGCCAGCGGGGGACTTAGTTTAACATAGGACCCTATGGGAAATACATACAAATGTCTTCTATTAGAGAACCACTGAATGGAATAAAACCAAACATGGTATGAATGTTCCTTATGAGGTGCTGACTGAGTGTTGTTACTTTGAAGCCGATCAATAATCCAAGATGGCCGCCAGCGGGGGTCTTAGTTTAACATAGGACCCTATGGGAAATACATACAAATGTCTTCTTTTAGAGAACCACTGAATGGAATGAAACCAAACATTGCATGAATGTTTCTTATGAGGTGCTGACCGAGTGTTGTTACTTTGAAGTCGATCCATAATCCAAGATGGATGCCAGCGGGGGACTTAGTTTAACATGGGACCCTATGGGAAATACATACAAATGTCTTCTTTTAGAGAACCACTGAATGCAATGAAACCAAACATGGCATGAATGTTCCTTATGAGGTCTTGACTAAGTGTTGTTACTTTGAAGCCGATCCATCATCCAAGATGGCCGCCAGAGAGGGACTTAGTTTAACATAGGACCCTATGGGAAATACATACAAATGTCTTCTTTTAGAGAACCACTGAATGCAATGAAACCAAACATGGCATGAATGTTCCTTATGAGGTGCTGACCAAGTGTTGTTACTTTGAAGCTGATCCATCATCCAAGATGGCAGCCAGCGGGGGACTAAGTTTAACATAGGACCCTATAGGAAATACATACAAATGTCTTCTTTTAGAGAACCACTGAATGCAATGAAACCAAACATGGCATGAATGTTCCTAATGAGGTGCTGACCAAGTGTTGTTACTTTGAAGCTGATCCATCATCCAAGATGGCAGCCAGCGGGGGACTTAGTTTAACATAGGACCCTATGAGAAATACGTACAAATGTTTTCTTTTAGAGAACCATTGAATGGAATGAAACCAAACATGGCATGCATGCTCCTTTTGAGGTGCTGACCAAGTGTTGTTACTTTGAAGCTGATCCTTCATCCATGATGGCTGCCAGATGGGGACAATGTTTAACAAAGGACCCTATGGATGATACATACAAATGTCTTCTTTTAGAGAACCACATACTGAATGGATTGAAACCAAACATGGCATGAATGTTCCTTATGAGGTGCTGACTAAGTTTTGTTACTTTGAAGCTGATCCTTCATCCATGATGGCCGCCAATAGGGGGACTTCCTTTAACATAAGACCCTATGGGAAATACATGCAAATGCTTCTTCTAGAGGTGCACTGAATGGAATGAAACCAAAACATGGCATAAATGTTTCTTATGAGGTGCTGATTAAGTGTTGCTACTTTGTTGCCGATTTACTGTTCAAGATGGCCACCAGGATTTTTTATTAAATTACAGGACCAATATTAAACCAAATTTGGCCTCACTCATTATTAGGGTATCTGTTATGATTTTAATCTATTTTTACATGATTTCCAAAACCAAAGTAGAATCAGGTGAGTGACACAGGCTCTTGAGAGCCTCTAGTTTCCTTTTGCTTTAAAATTTTCCATTTTAAATTGGTTATTTCTGATTTATATGTAAAAGCAAATAATAATGATATAGTTTGAATAGGTAAATTAAATTTTTTTAAGTTCTTAGACCACATTCATTCTGTGTCAGAATCCTATGCTGTGTGAAATATTTAATCACAATCCAAATTCAGTGCTGTATCAAGCTTGAATGTTGTGTCCACACTTGCCCCAACTGTTTAGGGTTCGACCTCTGCGGTCGTATCATGCTGCGCCCAGCGGAACATTTTATTACCTATAATGTCTGTTTGTCTTGCTCACACATTGTTGTCATTATTATTGAATTGTATGCGACTGGCATACAAGTGAGAGGTTTAGTTAGCTATAAAACCAGGTTTATCCACCATTTTCTACACGAGGAAATGCCAGGGATATAACATTTTTTCCCCATTCGTTTTATATGTTTGAGCTTTTGATTTTGCCATTTGATAAAGGACTTTCCAATTTGAAATTTCCTTGGAGTTTGGTATTTTTGTTATTTTACGTTTAACTATGTTACAGAATATAAAAATAACTAATTTTAACCGTGTTTCAGAAATTGGATATTTATAAGAAAGAACCAGATCAGAAAGGACTAGTCCTGATTGTAAACTTCATGTTCAGTGGTGATAAGAAGAGAATAGGTATCTTAACTTTACTGTGATAATCTATAGCTATGTAACAGAGTTACCATTAAATGATGTTCCAGTAAAAAAATGTTTAAAAGTTTAAAACTGGTTTATTATTAGATGTCCCATTACCCAATAAGACATTGATAATTTCAAAATGTCCATAAAATATTTCAATCAAATATTAAATCGGTATAAAATCTGGAGGCACAGATCTAAAGCCTCCATAATTTTTCTCTGATTATATATTTACTTATAATAGGCTCAATTATGACTTGGATGGAGAGTTGTCTCATTGGCACTCATACCACATCTTCTTATATCTATCAAACACCTTTAAACATAACATGTCAATTTTTCTAACACCTAACAATTTTTTGAAATGCTATTATTCCAATTTTTTCCTTAAGCAAGTAAGAGGACTGATACAATACAGTATGTGTTCGGCAATTGTAACTATTTACAAACAAAGGTGGATTAAGTATTCATTGGAATCAAATCCACTGTAATGCCAATCTTAATTGACCACAGTTAATATCTCGTTCGTTACATAATTAAATACACTTTATTACATAGCTTACTTAATACACTTGACCTCAATAATATACATATTATTACTTTGATCTACAGTATACTATGTAAAATTATCATGTACATTATGCCTCTATGATTCAGAATTAAAAAGATGTATTTTTTGCAAAGAAATAACAAAAACAAAATATGTATTACAATGAAAGCAGGGTCTATTTTACTTGTAAACTCAGTGTTATAATAATCTGATATTATTCAATAATTTAGGTTTATTTAAGTTACAATTACAATTAATTTGCTTAAAAGAATAAACATATATATAACTCTTACCAGGGCATCTATTTGTTTATTCATCATTATATTGCTATTTAACCGTGTAAGGTATTTTTAAGTCTTCCAAACGAAGTTTGGGAAGACTTATTGTTTTTGCTCAGTTCTTATTATTATTATTATTATTATTCTTCTTCTTCTTCTTCTTCTTCTTCTTCTTCTTCTTCCGCCGCTTTTAAATTTGAACTTGTCCGCACCCGTTCTTCAAAACCGCTTGTCAGATTAACTTAGGGTTTCACAATATGTTAGACTAACATGTCTAGTGGTGCAATCAGGGTTTTGTTTGTGCAATGGGGTTTATGAAGGGGTACTTTGAGGGGCAAAAAGAAAAGAGGGTTTTACTATAGAACCCTATGGGATTTTATTTTTTTTAATTTTCAAATGATTATAAATTGAAAACCGTTTGTGATAGACACAATCTTTTTAATTGAAAATGTTCTAAATGATAAAGCCCATTAAATGAAATACAGGGTTAGTCCCCAGGGGTCACCCCCACCCCCTGCCATTTATGAAAGTTCTAATACCTTGTAAGTGGTCAAGATCCCCACCCCTAAACCATATATATTTTGGTTTGTTATGCTAAGATGGTTTGAATGATATACAGGGTAAGTCCCCAGGGGTCACCCCGACCCCCTGCCATTTGAGAAAGTTCTAATATCTTGTAAATGGTCGAGATCCCCACCCCTAAACCATATATATTCTGGTTTGTCATGACAAAGCACATCAAATGAAATACAGGGTTAGTCCCCAGGGGTCACCCCCACCCCCTGCCATTTAAGAAAGTTCTAATATCTTATAAGTGGTCAAGATCCCCACCCCTAAACCATATATATTCTGGTTTGTCATGCTAAGATGGTTTGAATGATATACAGGGTTAGTCCCCAGGGGTTATCCCGACCCCCTGCCATTTGAGAAAGTTCTAATATCTTGCAAATGGTCGAGATCCCCACCCCTAAACCATATATATTCTGGTTTGTCATGATAAAGCACATCATATGAAATACAGGGTTAGTCCCCAGGGGTCACCCCCACCCCCTGCCATTAAGAAAGTTCTAATATCTTGTAAGTGGTCAAGATCCCCACCCCTAAACCATATATATTCTGGTTTGTCATGCTAAGATGGTTTGAATGATATACAGGGTTAGTTCCCAGGGGTCATCCCGACCCCCTGCCATTTGAGAAAGTTCTAATATCTTGTAAATGGTCAAGATCCCCACCCCTAAACCATATATATTCCTATTTGTCATGTCTCGAACATTTGAATGACATATACGGTCAGTCCCCAGGGGTCCCCCCCACCCCCAATGTTCTAATATCTTGTAAATGGTTGAGATCCCCACCCCTAAACCATATATATTCCTGTTCGTCATGTAATGAACATTTGAATGATATATAGGGCCAGTCCCCAGGGGTTCCTCCCCACCCCCAATGTTCTAGTATCTTGTAAATGGTCGAGATCCCCACCCCTAAACCATATATATTCTGGTTTGTCATGCCAAGATGATTTGAATGATATACAAGGTTAGTCCCCAGGCATCACAAATGCATATAACTTACTGGACCAAACCAATTTTCACTGGAAGTTGCCCAATGTCAGGCGACCCTGGGAATTACGAATTATGGGAGCTTCGTTTGGGAGACTTCGTAACAGCATCCTGTTACATTCATTTCTTGTTAATACTTGATTTTTTTTCTCAGTGAATAATGAACACAAATTTAAATAAAAATTAGTTCTTTTGATTGTTGAAAAAGTGCATTTTCAATGCCTTTTCCTGCAAATTATTACGTCAAACTTCAATAAAAAATATACTACACCTTTCTTTGAAGATTTCTATTTCCAATCATGTCAAAATCATTTAATTAAAAGAAAGAAATATTAAATATCAGTACCCCTTCTTAAAATTAAAATATCAAAACAAGTTGTATCAATATTGAGAATTCATTATTTTGGGCAATTTAATACATTTGTTTACGTAGCATCCTGAAAATAAAATAAAAATCTTCATCTTCAGTGTCATATAATTTTTATAAAAAACCATTAAGTGATCCTAAGATGAGTTAAAAAAATTGCAAACCAATGTTTAAACATATAAACATTTCCAAAAGCAACCATTTGCAAGTAAATTTACGGAGACAAGCTTGTTTCATTAGCAGAAAAAAACAGTTATCTTTCTTAATTTAATGCAAGAGTGATATATCCAGGTTTTTTTTATGTTCACCACAATACCTGAGAATATGATTTGAAATTATGCACACATTCTTCTAGTTTTTTCCATCAGTGATTTCGATTACTTTGATTGTCAGAAGTACCGTAGACGAAGTACATATTTTTCTGAGAATTTAATGAGCAGAAAGGATGATTTTAAAAAGGAAAAATAACACTGGTTATTTTTAGGGAAATAATTTTGAAAATGATGACGCGTTTTACATTTCAATCCTTGTGTTTGTCTGTTTTTTTCAGTTCCTCATTTTTTTTTTCTCTTTTCATCAAAGTGTTAACACAAGTTAAAACATTTTGGGCAAAAATCACTTATCGCAAGGTGTGATGTTTGTCTCTATATAAATGTCTTACAGTAGCTGGAATAAATACAGAAATATTAAAAAATCAATTAAAAAAATATCCAATTTACTGTTAAACCTGCTAACTTCCCGTTTAATGGGGATAACCCACATGAGAGGTGTTGACCTGTCCTTATAAAACTTGATATATTTAGACAAGGTACGTTAAGAAGAGCATTCAGAGGAATAAAAAAATATTGAACACATGTATACTCATTTAAAGCCATGTATGTTTTTCTTTAGTACACTAATGACATACATAGGTATGCATTAGGTCCTCGTGATACTACTGATAATAGAAGGACTGCTTCATACCTTGACCTTTTCCTCAATATTGACATAGATGGGCGACTTCACACTAAAATCTATGACAAACGGGTTGAATTCAACTTTGTACCCCAGCTTCTTCGAGTGTGAATTCGCATTGCTATACGACTTTTCTCGGAATTTATATATCCAACATTCATGTATTTAGTTAAAATGGTCACAGCACTAATTGGTTGACAAATTTTGGCCAAAATTATTGTGGTTTCCAGATGTCATTGTTTGAAATTTTGCCCAAACTTCAGGGAACCTAGCTTACAATGTAATTGGAAAAGGACAGAGCGCCTGTTGATTTTAGGTACTTTATGTCGAAGTTAACAAGTCACAGTGCATATCTATAGACTTGATAGTATTGTTGCCAGGCAACTGGACGTCTTTCAGTTATGACTCACATTTTTACTTATCTAAGGTGGATAATATGTCTTGTAGTGAAAAACATCCCTATTTCTTTAGAGTTCACATGATTAAAGGTCAAGGTCACAAAATTATTTGATAAAAATGTGTGTTTACGTTCAGACGATTTGCTCTATTATTTCTTTTGTTTTGAAAAACTTAAATATGGGTAAAATTCTGCTTTTTTATATCTTTAGAAATATATGTCAAACCTCATCAACTAAAGTCGGAAATAGTCAATCGGATGAAAAACAATATTTACCAAGTTTTGTATCTCAGTCAATATCTTTTCAGACAGAAAATAAATTTTTATCGAACTTGCATGGATATTGTTTAACGTCATTAAAGGTCAAATTTCCAGTAGCTTTATTTTTGAATTGACGTCTGTCTAAAACTTTGGTCTCCTGGAAATTCAAAAAAATAATTGGTTTCTAGGTAGAGCATGTCCTTAAACCGAAATGTCAACTATAACTCAAGTTTGACATAAAAATGATCAGACTGAGTATAAAAAGTAAATAACAAAAATACTGAACTCCAAGGAAAATTCAAATTGAAAATTGCCTTATCAAATAGCCATATCGAAAGCTCAAACACATCAAACGATTGGAATATTTAAACAACTGTCATATTCCTGACTAATAGGACAGGCATTTCCTTATGTAGAAAATGGTGGATAATCCTGGTTTTATAGCTAGCTAAACCTCTCACTTGTATGACAGTCGCATAAAATTCCATTATATTGACAATAATGTGTGAACAAAACAAACAGACATAATAGGTAAAAATGTCAAAAATGAGGGTACAGCAGTCAACAATGTGTTAAAATCTTAATCACTATAAAAACAAACAAATATATCAACAAAGAAAAAAATTATATATATTTAGACAAAGCACATAAGCAAACACGAAAGACAAGCATACACAAAATGATCACAGCACAACAACACATTTGCGGGATGCATAATAACCGAGCCACGCCATAATGATATTACCAAAAAAGGACTAAACAGTAAAGGTGAATAATTCATAAAGACAAATAAAAGCGCACTATAACTCGTAATTAAATGATAAACAACGTCAGTACCTAGAATCTATACTTCAATAGATATAAGAAGATGTGGTATGAGTGCCAATGAGACAACTCTCCATCCAAATCAGAATTTGTAAAAGTTGACCATTATAGAACAAAGTACGGCCTTCAAAACGGAACCATGGCTCACACTGAACAGCAAGCTATAAAGGGCCCCAAAAATAACTAGTGTAAAACAATCAAGACCATCAACTATTATTTGTGAAATTGATACGGAATATTTATCAGCAAGGTTTTGGTATATTCTGATGATTTTTTTAAGAAAAGGACGAGACGTTTGTTGAAATAACCCTGGTTCGTCAACTGTTTGCTCAGACACTGGTGAAAAAGACGTTTTATAAAGTATGGGATTCATCTGCAAGCTCTTGAATACCAAATAAGTTGGGAAATGTATATCCCATATGCAGGCGAAGTTGGTATATTGCTACTGAATGGGGATGGAATTGAAAATTTCAAAATTAGAATCGTCTCGTTTGTCATATATTATTGTACTGAAATGACCGCCTATGTCAAATTCGAGGTATAAGTCTAAATATGAGGCAGAGGAAGCCTTGTGTTGTTTCTTTGATTTCTAGTTCTATAGGATAAATTATACAGTTTTCACCTATAAACCGAAAAAACAGTACCGCAAACTCACAGAATCAATAATCAAAGCTGGGCTTTTGCATCCATGGTCTTCCTTAATTTTGCTAATATTTGTTTATCGAAAAATGTATTGTCAAAAACATTATATTCCGAAAGCGCTTGTGACCATTCATAATAAAACATATATAAATATAGGTTTCGTAACGAGTGAGAATGGGATTTTTACAAGTTGTGAAACCTATTTCTATTATAGAATATAATATGCTAAATTAAAAATTCCGCGAAATGTTGAACTAGTCTTTTGCGCATTTCAGTATGACGTCATATGTCTTTTGCCGGTGTCAAACTTTAACATCAGACATTTTAAGACTTTTTGTACGATTCAGAATGTAATAAAATTGGACAAAAAGAAGATTATCAGGTGTAATATGTGAGCGTTATTTTTATATTATTGAAGAAATCACATATGGCCATTGCCATGGACGAAATGTACATCGTCTAAACCTTTGAAAGTCATCGAGTAGCCAATGGAAATGCCGTAATATTGTCTTGTAATGCTGGATAAGCAAATAGAATTAACGCAGATTTTCGTATTACTTTTTCGTATCTCACTTCGTGCAGTGTGATACCAGAAATATCTATTCATGCAAGAAATAGATAACAGGCTACAACCATAAGAGAATAATGCATATCACATAATGATTATTCAATGATCCAAATTTCCATTCAGGAATTAATTTGTATACTGTAAATTCAGAAATTATTGCGTGCATTTATTATTGCGATTCGCCAACCACCGGCAAAAATGCGAGGTTTTATTTTTGCGATTTGCCGACCTCAAAAAAAATTTGTTTGAGCTAAATATTATTGTAAGTCACAAAATGTTTGTTTTAATCTATGGATCAAGTTACCTTCCGTATGTTTTCTGTGATTGAATACACATTTCTTATCTGATGTAGCTTGTAAAGGGGATCTAGAAACTAAGTTCAATTACTAGTACTGTATTTGTTGTACATGCCTACTTTGGGGATCTAGAAACTTAATCGAACATTGACCACGTGCAGAAGATTAGTGTAGAGCGAGGCCCGGCTTGGGTAATTATAGGATATTTTTAGCTTCAAAGGAAAATAAATTACAATATTAAAAGTCAATAATCACAATCAAAGTAAATTAGGTTTGGCTTCCGAGTCCTTTTATGCATACAAGCGAAGTTGAGAAAAATAAAATTCATCATAAAGTGTTAGGCTTGTGGCACATTGTTACAAATAAATTTAATTACACATCTAATAATTCAGCGTTGATTAGCAAAGACTCATTTAGACATGAATAGGAATGATTTTTTTTTAAACGCCATTAAAGTTAAAAAAAATGTCCATGTGGAAGTACGTCACAAAGAAACGCTCCCCTGACGACATCGTCTTGAGGTTGCCCGATCCTGAAAACGCTATCAAAAAAGATGCATCTGATAATATAAAAGCCGCTAACACTGAAATTGTCAACTCTCTTGCTACTGATGCGTCAACTACCAGCACAAAACGGGGGGGTCAAGAGAAAAGCCAGCAACAACCACTACACACCAGAGACCCGTGCTAAAATAGCAAAATATGCCACTGAACATGGTAATGTTGCCGCTGCCCGCAAATTTAGCAAAGACCTCCAACTTGACATTAAAGAAAGTGCAGTACGAGCCATGAAAAAGAAATATCTTGTACACTCAAAAGAATCTAAACACCAACCTGTCAATGGTGATTTAGACAAAGATGTAGGAGCCCACATACGCAGCATCAGAGAAGCCGGTGTCATCGTAAACCAAGCTATCGTTATTGCAACAGCCCGTGGACTTGTCAGACACAAAAACCCCACACTACTCAGTGAAGCTGGTGGATCGATACATATCACCAAGACATGGGCCGTATCCTTCCTAAAAGACTTGGGTACGTCAAGCGAAAAGGTACCAAAGCAGCCAGAAAACTGCCAGATGACTTTGAGCACCAAAAAAGTGAATTTCATCGCATCATCACCGAGACCGTTACCAAGTACAACGTGCCTCCACAACTGATCTTCAACTTTGACCAGACTGGGTTAAAGATCGTCCCTGTATCTAACTGGACATTAGAGATGGAGGGCTCAAAGCAAGTTGACATTATCGGTTTAGAAGATAAACGCGAGATTACAGGTTTACTAGGTAGCACATCAGATGGTTGTCTCTTACCACCTCAGATTTTATACCAAGGTAAAACAGACCAGTGTCACGCAAAATATCCGTTTCCCTCCGACTGGGACGTTTTCCACACAGAGAGCCACTGGAGTAACGAACAGAGTATGGTGCGTTACATTGAGACTGTCCTTGTGCCGTATACCGACAAAGTTAAAGAAGAGTTAGACCTGCCGATACGACAGCAGTCAATTGCCATATTTGACGTTTTCCGTGCACACAGGTGTCAAGACGTCCTAGATGCTTTGTTGAAGGCTCGGATTCAACACGTTTTCGTACCCGCGGGTTGTACTGGGGAACTTCAGCCAATGGATCTCAGCGTGAATGGTGAACTCAAAGCTGCTATGAAAAACGAATTTACAAACTGGTACGCAGATATGGTTGCTGAAGATCTAAAAGATTCATCCACCATCAACAAGGTTGACCTAAGACTTTCTGTTCTCAAGCCGTTACATGCTAAATGGTTGAGTAAAGTGTTCACTGAGTTGAAGTCAAAGAAAGACATTATCTTGCTAGGTTGGAAAAAGTCTGGTATAAGTGACTGTATAAAGTGTTAAATTGAGTTTTTAATGAACTACATGTAGTGTTGAACTTGTGCTTAATGAACAATAGTAGCTTGTGATGACTTATAAATTGACTCTTGAAAAAACTATTGCCGTACTTGTGCTTTATGAACAATATTATCTAATGATGATTTTTGTTATTCTATTGTCTATTATTTATTTATTGTAATAAATATTATTAGATAATTTGTTTTTATTTCTCACTTTCTAAAGGTGTTTACTTATACCGAAAATACACATGCTTCACTGAACAATTACAAACAATATTAACAAAATAAAGTAACATCGTAATTTGTCACTGGATACAAGAATCGAACAGCATGTCAATAGTAATTTTCCCATTCATAAAAATTCCCGGCAGCTTTTGATCAAACATAAACATATTACAGGCACATTTCCAATTAAAAGTCAAAGTGTTATAAAAATGTCACCTGGCTTCGCTGATTACACAGATTAGCGGAAATAAGTTGTAAAAACACATTACCCTTAAATGCCCTAGGTGAAAGGTTACTTACATCACACCACTGAACAAAGGGAGATAAATCAATCACAAATTGACGAGGGAAAAATGAAAGTAACAATGCGAGGTTTAATTATTGCGATCGTCGGCCGCTCGCATTATTCGCATTAATAAAAACCTCGCAATAATTTCTGAATTTACAGTAATTTAACCAATGGTGCATCTCCATAAGGCAACGTTGAGATTAGACTGTTTGATTTCCTATACCCTTTTGGTTTAAAAGTCTGGAAAAAAATTATTGCTTCCAATACCTTTGTCTCAAGTCATGAAAGTGTAGGAAATGTTATTCCAGGAAAATGCGTCATGTGCCATATATTAGTTTGATACATTGGTTATAAAGTTTGTATTATCCATGGATGATGGTATAATGTTTCTTTGCCTGCAAGTTTATGATTTTGTTCATAGTATGATATTCATTTTGTTATTTCTTTTTGTTTTAGGTTCTGATATCGATGTTAAGAATCTCACAGAGTTCTTCTCCATGCTACAATATCAGGTAGAATGTCGATCAGATATGACAAAGAAGGATTTACAGGATTGTTTCAAGGGCATTGAAAGTGAATACCTAACAGAAAAGTCAGAGGATTATCATTCCTTTATCTGTGTAATTATGAGTCATGGAAATGAGGTATCACATCTTTATATTTTTAGCTCACCTGGCCCAAAGGGCCAAGTGAGCTTTTCTCATAAATTGGCGTCCGTCGTCCGTCGTCGTCGTCGTTAACTTTTTATACTTCTTATATTGGTATATCATGTCGTCGTCGTCAGCGTCGTCCAAAGACATTTGGTTTCCGGACAACAACTTTAGTATACATTGTAAGTAAATAGAAATCTATGAAATTTAAACACAAGGTTTATAACCACAAAAGGAAGGTTGGGATTTTCTAGTTTCCAGACAATAACTTTTGGGACTGTGTATGGATCTCTCTGAAATTATACCACAAGTTTCCATACCACTTAGGGATGGTAAGGATTGACTTTAGGGGGTAATGACTCAAACCGTTTAGGAATTAGGGGCAAAAATAGGGGAAAACAAGGCTTTCCTTGTTAATCGACAATTACCTCTAAGTACAATGTTTTGTGTTTGGATTACCTCCCTCACACTGCTTTTAAATTATGTATAAAGAAATGTTGTATTGTCTTGAGGTGATTAGCTATCAATTTATTTTAAGAAGTTACTATTAAAATGCTGATTAAGGAATATTAATTTTAGACATGAATTTTTTTTTTTGGAAAAAAGAGGGTGGGGAGGTAAAAAAATTGTGGTTTGGTGGGGGGAATAAAAAGAAAATTATGAGTGGACATTTTTCTTTAGGGGGGTCAATTCGCAACAGCATAGTGTATTGCACAAAAGCAAAAAAACGGGGTAATTTTTTTTTTTTGGGGGGGGGGGGGGGGGGAGGGGTATAATTCGCAACAGCATAGTGTATTGCACAAAAGCAATAAATTGAATTTAAATTCAAATCATAGAACCAATTCTAAGTTCTTTGACTACAGTTATACCATGTTAGAAACCTATTATGTAACAAATATTTAATTACAATCCAAATTCAGACTTGGATCAAGCGCGAATATTGTGTCCATTTTTGCCCCAACTGTTCAGGGTTGGATCTCTGCGGTCGTATCCAGCTGCGCTCGGCATTATTACATTTGAAACTTCTTCTGGAGAACCACTGAATGGAATCAAACCAAACATAGCATGAATGTTCCTTATGAGCTGCTGACCAAGTGTTGTTACTTTGTAGCCGATCCATCATCCAAGATGGCCACCAGCGGGGGATTTAGTTTAACATAGGACCCTATGGCCAATACAAACAAATGTCTTTTTTTAGAGAACCACTGAATGGAATGAAACCAAGCATGGTATGAATGCTCCTTATGAGGTGCTGTCCAAGTGTTGTTACTTTGAAGCCGACCCGTCATCCAAGATGACTGCCATCGGGGGACTTAGTTTAACATAGGACCCTATGGACAATACATACAAATGTCTTCTTTTAGATAGCCACTGAATGGAACGAAACCAAACATGGCATGAATGTTCCTTATGAGGTGCTGATGAAGACCTGAATAAATGTATCTTTATAGATTGAGTCCTACTGTAAACTACAAAAATATCAAGAAAAGAAGATTTACACATAAGTCAACATGAGCCAATTTTTCAATTGGCATCTTGTTGAAGTTATTGTCCTTATAAAGTCATTGTTAGCTCACCTGGCCCCAAAGGTTTGATGAGTTTATACAGATCACATAGTGATTTCCGCGCTTTAAGTACAATATTACCGTAAAATTAAGGACGTGAAATACCATTTTTAAAAAGTTTTCTACAGGTATAGCCAACTTTACTAATCAAATCTTTGTATCTATGAAAGAATCTAGTAAACGTTTTAAGTAATTTATTGTAACGAAATCCCTGACTTAATAATTTACCAGGGATGCATTGATTACGTTCGTTAAAATCTATGACATAACTACACACATGGGCATAACGAACGAGTTGGGATATATAAACACCGTATGATGGATCCAAAGAAACATAGCCATCTAAAAAGGAAAATTTACAATAGGGAATGACAAATCGTCTCTTTTGTCGTAAATTGTAGTATAGAGTTTCCCTTTAGAAATTGAAATGTCTAAATCTAGAAAAGGACAACTACTTCTGTTTATGTTAGATTTAGTTAAAAGTAATTTCTATAAAGTATATTTAGAGAACTCTTGATTATTTAACAAAAACATATCATTCAGATAAGGATAGGTATTATTGAATGTATCAACCAAATGTAACAATGATGTGTCTTTACTGAGTTTGGTCATAAACTGAGATTCATAGCAATACTGGAATAAATCTGCTATTAAGGGGGCACATTTAGTGACCATAGGAATACCTACTACTTGTCGATACACTTTATTGCCGAAACGACTTACGTACATATATATCTGTACTTAGTGTCTTTTTGTTGTTGGGATATACAAGTACCCGGCCATGTCCACTCTGTGTAGTATTTCTTGTTTGTATCCATCTGATGAATTAAGCCTTTTTCAACTGATTTTTATAGTTCCTTCTTATGTTGTACTGTTACACTACTGTACCAGGTTAGGTGGAGGGTTGTGATCCCGCTAACATGTATAACTCCACCACATTCTGTATGTTTGTGCCTGTCCCAAATCAGGAGCCTGTTATTCAGTGGTTGTCGTTTGTTGATGTGTTACATATTTGTTTTTCGTTCGTGTTTTTGTACATGAATTAGGCCGTTAGTTTTCTCGTTTGAATTGTTTTACATTTGTCATTTCAGGGCCTTTTATAGCTGACTATGCGGTATGGGCTTTGCTCATTGTTGAAGGCCGTACGGTGACCTATATTTGTTAATTTCTGTGTCATTTGTGAAGTATATGCGTCACACCACCAATACATTATTGGTTGCTTTGCGAGTACTTGGAGTTTATTTTTTATTCTAGAAATGGGAATATCATGGACCCTATAATTAATTTCAAAATTGTTTTCAAAATGAAATATACAAATAATAACAGTATTAATAATGTAATTCAAATAACTGTATAGAGATTTTTTTATCAGATTTTTTACATTTACACCAACTTTTACAGTAGGCAGAAAGAGCGTCTTTAATGACCTGAAGGAACATATCTAAAACTAGATGTTTCACAGTCCCAAGTGGAAGGAACATTATTTTCTATATTGACGTGTGATGTAACTGACGTATAATTAAAATCAAACTTCTGCTGTTGTTTTTGTTGAGCCTGCGACATTTGTCGAAGACAGCTCGACATAGTGATAGTGATCCGGCGGCAGCGGCGGCTACTACGGCGGCGCAGTAAGCTAACTTCTTAAAAGATTTATATGTTAGAAGGTGCAAGACCTAGATGCTTCATACTTTGTATATAGATGCCTCATGTTAAGAAGTTTTCGTCTGTCACATGTCCATTGTCCTTGACCTCATTTTCATTGTTCAGTGAATACTTGAAAAAAAAGTTAAGATTTTTTGTAATGTTAATTTCTCTCTTATGATGAGTACTAGGATAACTATATTTGGTATGTACGTACCTTGTAAGGTCCTCATGCCTGTCAGACAGTTTTTACTTGACTTCGACCTCATTTCATGGATCAGTGAACAAGGTTAAGTTTTGGTGGTCAAGTCCACTTCTCAGATACTGTAAACAATAGGTGTAGTATATTCGGTGTATGGAAGGACTGTAAGGTGTACATGTCCAACTGTCAGGTGTCATCTGACCTTGACCTCATGTTCATGGTTCAGTGGTTATAGTTAAGATTGTGTGTTTTGGTCTGTTTTTTCTTATACTATATGCAATAGGTCTACTATATTTGGTGTATGGAAGGACTGTTAGGTGTATTTGTCCAACTGGCAGGTGTCATCTGGCCTTGACCTCATTTTCATGGTTCAGTGGTTATAGTTAAGTTTTTGAGTGTTGGTCTTTTATTCTAATACTATATGCAATAGGTCAACTATACTTGGTGTATGGATTGAGGGGCAAAAGATACCAGAGGAACAGTCAAACTCATAAATCGAAAATAAACTGACAACGCCATGGCTAAAAATGAAAAAGACAAATATTTGCTGATGTACATGTCAGTCTCGCAGGTTTTATTTGACCTTGACTTCATGTTCACGGTTCATTGGTAAGTGTTAAGTTTTTGTGTTTTGGTCTATTTTTCTTAAACTGTAAGCAATAGGTCAACTATATGTGTTGTATGGAAGGAATGTAAGCTGTACATGTCTGCCTGGCATAGGTCATCTGACCTTGACCTCATTTTCATGGTTCATTTATCAATGTTTAGTTTTCTTGGTTAAGTCTGTTTCTTAGAAACTATAATCAATAGGTCAACTATATCCCATCCAGTGCATTAAATGATTGTAAGGTGTACATGTAATTCTTGTTTGGTTCATATGACCTCGACCTCATTTTCTTGGATCGTGTTAAGTTTATGTGATAGTTTGTAGTAAAGATTTATATTTAGGACTATCAACAACATAATATCAATGATTAGTAAAGAAGGCGAGACATTTCAGGGTGTGCACTCTTGTTTTTTATAAGAATACGAAATAATGGGTGGTTCTATATTATCAAAATATTGAGGTATTTGGCTTTAGATGGTAGAGGCATTGAATATACTTGATAAGTCAATAAAATTAACACCTCTATTTATATATTTTAATTTAAGAAAATGCCGTTTATGATTTTCAGGTTTATTGATACAAGGAAATAGCCTGTGGTGACAAAAGGCTGTAATAATACGGGTGTATTCATACAACGGGCTAAAACAAGAAATTTTATTACACTCCAGGAAAAAAGCATATAATTTATTTATTGGTATCTGACACAGTTTGCATAATACTTGATGTCTGCCATTATTTTTTATTATAGATAACAAATCAGCAAGTGTATAATTTAATACGTTGATTACGATTTTTGCGTTTACCATGAGACCTATTATTTCTAAGTCGTGTATCGACAATATTAATGACATCGATAGAAGTTTTGGATATGTTCCCCTGTCCTAATAGTGTGTCATTGAAACCAAGAGGATAAGCTGTTTGAAGTCTTTTTAAAAAAATCCAAAATAATTCGCAAACTTCATGTGATTTTTCAAATTGC